TAGACATATAGATGAATGGAACAGAATCAAGAGTTCAGAAATAAACCCTCACATTTATGATGAATTGATTTTTGACAAGGGTGCCAAGACCACTCAAAGAAGGGAAATAGTCTTCTCAACAAATGGTACCAGGACAATTGGATAGTCACATGCAAAAGAACAAAGCTGGACCACTACTTCACATCCTACCTGAAAATTTCCTCAAACTAGATTATAGAACTAAATGTAAGTGCTAAAACTATAAAACTTTTAATGTGGAGAAACTGGAGCCCTCATACACTACTGGTGGGAGTGTAAAATAATGCAGTCCCTATAGAAAACATTCTGGCAGTTCCTCAAAAGGTTAAACAGAGTTAGATTTACCATGCTACCCCAGCAATTCAACCTCTACACATATACCGAAGAAAAATAAAAACATATGTACACACAAAACTCTGTACATGAATGTTCACAGTAGAATTATTCATAATAGCCAAAAATTGGAAACAACTCAAATTTCCATCAATGGATAAATGGATAAATAAAACATGGTATATCCATACAGTGGAACATGCTATAAAACTTAAACCTTAAAACAGTTATGCTAAGTGAAAGAAGCTAATTACAAAAGACCACTTATTGTATGATAGTATTTATATGAAATGTCCAGAATAGGCAAATCTATAGAGACAGAAATTAGATTAGTGGTTGCTAGAGCTAGGGTCAGAAGGAATGGGGAGTGACTGCTAATGAGTAGGGGTTTCTTTTTGGAGTGATGAAAATGTTCTAAACTTAGATTGTGGTAAATATTGTGCAATTCAGTGAATAAACTAAAACCACTGAATAGTACACCATAAATGGGTGAATTTTATGGTATATGAATTATATATCAATAAAGAGGTTAAAAAATAAAAATAGGGGGATTATACTGGAAGTTATTTTTGGTTTTATTTTGTTTTGTTTTGTTTTTTGGAGACAGTGCCTCCCTCTGTTGCCTGGTTAGAGTGCATCACAGCTCACTTCAACCTCAAACTCCTGGGCTCAAGCAATCCTCCTGCCTCAGCCTCCTGAGTAGCTGGGACTATAGGCATGCGCCACCATGCCTGGCTATTTTTTCTTTTTTTTTTTTTTCTACAGACGGGGTCTCACTCTTCCTCAGGCTGGTCTCAAACTCCTGAGCTCAAGTGATTCTCCCACCGCAGCCTCCCAGAGTGCTAGGATTACAGGCGGAAGCCACCTTGCCTGGCCTGTAGGATTTTTAAAGCAAACTCATCACAGTTTACATTTGGTCAACTGAAAATGCACACCTAACTGCATGATAACAAAAGGAAGAAACCTACAACATAAACAGAGGTAAAGCACAATTTTAAACACTGTGATAGTGGCAGACTTTTAGAAAACATCAACAACTCAGTACAATTGCCAATGAGAAGGCTCTTTTCCCGCAATTATTTTAGGCAGACTGTGAATATTAGAGAGAGTCACAAAGAGAGATAGGTGTTTCAAGTAGAGGCTGCTGCCATAAATAAATGACAGATATTACATGCAGTGGTTGAAAATGATGTTTAGCTAAATATCAGTCTTTTCACCCTCGTCTACCTCCACACAGATTCTAATCACCATTAGTAATGTCACCTTCAGATATGACGGAGATAAAAAAGGCAAATTAATACCCTATAAAAGGCCAGTGACACATGACTTTCTTCTAATAGGATACATCTCATCACTTTTGCATTTTCATATACAACATGCCCTGCTGGAAGTCTCTGGTGCCTTATACTTACTGACTCTGCTTGGTAAGAAAGCACTTTGAAGAGGTCTTTCTCAATAGCAATCTTCTGCACGGTTAAGTGGGCCTCACTGGAGCTCCTCTGCATTAATATGACATATAATTGCTCCACACTCTGGAAAATAAAACCACAATACAATATTATAATGAGAATAACCACAGATGTTACTAATAATTGCCATAGCTAAAAATCATGGGAACTTACAGCCATGGCAGCTTGAAAAAATTCATCAGCAATCAGAGCATTTCCAACATTCACCCACCCTTTTCCTGTTTTCATATTCATCTAGAAGAAGAGAGAAATTACAAAATAATGTTTAAAAATTCACACGTCCCCCAAATTGGTTGGGGGGTATTCAATAAAATATTTAATCCTCTGTTCATGTTCAGTAGCATAGCCCACAGAAAACAAAAGCAACAGTCAGCATTTAGTAGAGTTCTGTGTTCTGCTTTGAACTGCATAATTTAAGAAAACTGGTCTTAAGAAAAGCAATAATAACAAAAAAATTAATTTACTTGAAAACACATCTTCTGAGGAAATATTAAAAGAAAACATTGGGATAATTTAGATAGGAAGAGATAGTTCTGAAAACTTAATGTTTCACGTATTTGAAGAAAGTTATAGGATAAGCATTAGACCATAAGTCAACACACTCGGGTTGCAGTTTTTAATTTTATCTCTAATAAAACTTTCATTAATCCAACAAGTGTTTATTAAGTATCCTTTACATGCCCGGCACCCTGATGGAGCTCACAGTATTGTAACTGATAGATATCTAAATAAATTATTGATATGTAATATGCACAAATGCTATGAAAGCAAACAAGGACTGAATAAAAATGGAGGACTGAGCATGCGGTACAGCCACCCCTTCTACCATAAACTCCTAGATATGATAATACATAGAAACAAGAGAAAATATATGCAGTATATATTTTTTGTTATTCAATAAGTCCTGAAAAATGAGGCTTTTTCAATGGACCTGAAATTATGAAGAACCTCTGAAAAACAGACAGCAAATGGGATGACGCAGAAATCCACATTGCAACGTGTACAAAAATGCAAAATATGGAAACAGTAGAACAAAATGTGTGAATAGTAGAAGCATCAGGCACTTGGCTTCCCAAAAAACGGTTATCTTTCCCCCTCTTCTCCATAAAGGAACAGCGAATACAATTACTTGGGCTGGAGAGAAATAGAGTTCCAGGTAGCTAACAACACATGTCAATGCAAAATATCCATTCTCAAAAAGGAATGCAGGATATGTTAAAAAATAATAATAAAACAAAGAAAAGAAAAAAAATGCAAAATATCCAGTCCTCCCATCCCATCAGTCGCCAGTTATAGTACATAATGTGACACAGTATTCACAAAAGATGCTCAAAGAACTTCAAATGAAATATGAGCAAGAATTACCAAACTATTGAGGGAAACCAGCACCATGAAAGGACATCACACTCAACAAACAGAAAAATACCTGAGAAAACAGAATTAAGAGAGCTAGCAGATAAAAACATAAAGACAAATACAATTATTATCCACAGAGTTAACATGCTCAAGGTTGGCCACTGTGGCTCACACCTGTAATCCTAGCACATTGGGAGGCTGAGGTGGGAGGATCGCTTGAGGCCAGGAGCTCAAGGCAAGCCTGAGCAAGAGCAAGGCCCTGTCTCTACCAAAAATAGAAAAATTAGCTGGGCGTGGTGGTGTGCACCTGTAGTCCCAGCTACTCACAAGGCTGAGGCAGGAGAATCCCTGGAGCCCCAGAGCTTGAAGTTGCAGTGAGCTAGGATGACGCCACTGCACTCTAGCCCAGATGACAGACCTTATCTCAAAAATAATAATAGTAATAATAATAATGATAATAATAATAATAACCTGCTCCACTTAGTTTTCATTGTTTGGAATCGACAAAGCCCAAAATGTAAATGTTAGAGATAAGTGACAGAAATTGGAAGGTTAAAGGGGAAGAGAGGTAGAGAAATGGTAAAGGTATTAATATCCTCACGAAGTAGAAAGTAAAGATATAATCTCCAAAATTGATGGAAAAAGAAATAAAACTTTAGGAGAGAGGATGGAGCAAGATGGCCAAATAGAAACCTCCAGCAACCATCCCTCCACACAAACACCAAATTCAACAAGTATCCATGCAAGGAAGCACCTTCAGAAGAATCAAAAATCAGATATGCAATCACAGTACCCAGTTTAAAAATTATATCAAGGAAAAGCACAGAAAAGACAGTCTTACATGGCCTACGCCACCCCTCCCCCATCCCCCTCAGCACACCCGGTGGAGATAGAATCTGTGTGCCCAGGGGAGGGAGAGTTAAGTGATTGTGGGACTTTGCCTTGAAACTCAGGGCCACCCTGTCACAGAGGAACACAACACAGGGCAGAATTCTACCAGTACCCAAGGAGGGAGCATTTAGACCAGCCCAGCTAGAGAGAAATCCTCCACCTCAAAGCCCCAGTTTCAGCTAACCCCACACCAGCTGATAAAAAGTGGGCTGGGGCCTGGAATAAATTCATAAAGCAGTCAGGCCACAAAGGCTGCAGTCCTTGGGCAATTCTTGCTGCTGTGCTGATTCAGAGGCAGTGGACTTGGGGTGCACGTGACCCAGTGAGACACCAGTAGCGGCCACCAAGCCAGTGCCTGTGTCACCCTTCCCACAACTACAGGCAGGGAGAGGCTTCTTCCTTTTGGGCAAAGAAAAGGGAAGCGTTCAGAGGACTTTGTTTTGCAACTTGGGTACCTACTCAGCCACAGAAAAATAAAGTACCAAGCAGACTCCTGAAGTCCCTGATTCTAGGCGTTAGTTCCTGGACAGCATTTCTAGACCTACACTGGGCCAGAAGGAAACCCACTGCTCTGAAGGGAAGGACCCAGTACTGGCAGGATTCACCACCTACTGACTAAAGAGCTCTTGGGCTTTGAATAAACATAAGAGATAGCCAGGCAGCAGTTACCACAGGCTTTAGAAGAGACTGGGCTGGCCGGGCGCGGTGGCTCACGCCTGTAATCCTAGCACTCTGGGAGGCCGAGGCGGGCGGATTGTTTGAGCTCAGGAGTTCGAGACCAGCCTGCAAGAGCGAGACCCTGTCTCTACTAAAAATAGAAAGAAATTAATCGGACAGCTAAAAATATATAGAAAAAATTAGCCGGGCATGGTGGCGCATGCCTGTAGTCCCAGCTACTCGGGAGGCTGAGGCAGGAGGATCGCTTGAGCCCAGGAGTTTGAGGTTGCTGTGAGCTAGGATGATGCCACGGCACTCTAGCCCGGGCAACACAGTGAGACTCTGTTTCAAAAAAAAAAAAAAAGAAGAGACTGGGCTGGCTTAAGGTGTGACCTTGGCACAGTTCCAGCTGCAGTGGCCATAAGGGAGTACCCATGTCACTCCTCCCCCAACTCCAGCAGCCCAGCACAGAGAATGAGGGAGTGAGACACTTTGCCTGGTAATCCAGGAAATTCTCCTGTATCTTACCCAAGTCCACCAAGGTAGTACCACCAGGAGTCTGCAAGAGTCACAGGATTACCAGGCTTGGGGCACTCCCAGTGTTGATATAGCTGCAGTGACCTAGATCACAACTCTCAATTCCCGTTGAATATCTACAAAGCCTTATCAAGAAGGACAGCTTTAAACAAGCCCAGACTGAAAAGATTAGAATAAATACCTAATTCTTCAATGCCTAGACATCAATGAACATCCATAAGCATCAAGAACATCCAGGGAAACATAACCTCACCAAAAAAACTAAATAAGGTACCAGTGACCAATCCTGGAGTGATGTACATATGTGACCTCTCAGGCAGAAAATTCAAAATAGCTATTCTGAAGAAGCTCAATGAACTTCAAGACAACACAAAGAAGGAAATCAGAAGCCTATCAGAGAAATTTAACAAAGAGATTGAAATAACAACAAAAAAAAAATCCAGCAGAAATTCTGAACTAAAAAATTCAATTGACAGACTAAAAAATGAATCAGAGTCTCTCGACAGCAAAATTGATCAAGAAGATGAAAGAATTAGCGAGCTTGAAGACACGCTATTTGAAAATGCCCAGTGAGAGGAGAAAAAAGAAAAAAATAAAAAAGAATGAAGCACGTCTACAAGATCTAGAAAATAGCATCAAAAGGGCATGTCTAAGAGTTATTGGCCTTAGAGAAGAGGTAGAGAGAGAGATTGGGGTACAAAGTTTATTCAAAGAAACAATACAGAGAACTTTCCTAATCTAAAGAACAATATCAATATTCACATACAAGAAGGTCATAAAACACCAAGCAGATTTAACCCAAACAAGACTACCTCAAGGCATTTAATAATCAAGCTCCTAAAGGTCACAGATAAAGGAAAAGTTCTTAAGAGAAGCAAAAAGAAAAAAAAAGAAAAAAAGAACATATAAAGGATCTCCAATACATCTGGCAGCAAACTTCTCAGTGGAAACCTTACAGGCCAGGAGAGAGTGGCATGATATATTCAAAGTGCTGAAGGAAAAAACCTTAACCCTAGAATATTATATCCTGCAAAAATATCCTTCAAACATGAAAAAGAAATAAAGACTTTCCCATACAAACAAAAGCTGAGGGATTTCATCAACACCAGACCTGTCCTACAAGAAATGCTAAAAGGAGTTCCTCAATGTGAAAAAAAAGGATGTTAATGAACAATAAGAAATCATCTGAATGTATAAAACTAACCGGCAACAGTAAGTACACAAATACAGATTATTACTATAATTGCAGTGTATAAACCACTCATATTTTGAGTAGAAAGACTAAAACACAAACCTTGGAAAAATAATAACAACAATAACTTTTTGAGATAGTATAAAAAGATATAACTGTAAACAACAAAAAATAAAAAAGCAGGGAGATGGAGTTAAAAGTGTAGAATTTCTTTTTGATTTCTCTTTTCTCATTTGTTTGTAAGCAGAGTTAACATGTCATATATGTCAACAGAAAATAAGCCAAACTCTGTAAAATAATTTTAAAAAGATTTATTCTGAGCCAAATTTGAAGACCATGACCCGGAGCCACACTCAAGCCACTCTTGAGCAAGTGGACTTGGTGTGGCTGGGTTACAGTTTGGTTTTATACATTTCAGGGAGACAGGGGTTACAGGTGAAGTCATAAATCAATACATGGGAGGTATACATTGGTTTGGCCCGAAAAGGTGGGCCATCTCTAAGGGGGGGCTTACAGGTTATAGGTAGGGTTAGAGATTCTTGACTTGTAATTGGTTAAAGACATGAAGCTTCATCTAAAGGATTAGAATATTTTAAAATAA